GATGTATAAAAAACTAAAAATAAAATAAAGCAAATAAAGATAAAATTATTAAAAATAAAGACCTAATAAAATAGAAAAACGCCGTGGCCAAGCACTAAAACGTACCCGTTAAAATGACACAGGGCTCTAATATAATTATATACACTAAAAGAGCATCAAACCTGATGTTTCTCATTGAGTTTGAGCTTTTATGATTTGAAAAATTAACTTTATTCATTTTTTTTATCCTTATACAACACTGTTACACATCTAAACAAATGTTGCAAACAGCCTCAGTTGGGTATAAAGTGTAAATATTCAGAGGGGCGCTAAGGAGTGGACAATTATTGGTGTCCCTTAAAAAAAGAAAAAACAAAAACAGTCAGAGAATTAACTGGAAACTGACAAAAGTAAAAAAAAAAAAAACGATAAAAAAAGATAAAAAATTATATGATTATGAACAAATGAAAGTCAGACACTGATTTCCACCCATGCTTCAACTAGATTTTTTTTTTTTTTTCATTTTTAAAAATAAATTCATGAAACAGGCTTGAACAAAAATGATGTTATCCCTAGAAAAGGCTGACAATAATGTCATCAGTGTCAGATCCATTGTTGTTTGAGCCACAGTGGACTTAATGGGGGACGACAAAGGAGGATAAAAGCATTGCTTAAAACAAATCATAAAAGAGCCAGACTGGAATTTACTAAACTCTGTGTTGACCAGCCACAAAGCTTATGGTAGAAGTCCTATAGACGGATGAGACAATTGAAAATCAGCTCTATGATTACACAAGGAAAAATGAAACATGACAAGAAAAGATCACTGTCCCTAGTGAGAAACATGGAGGAGGCTCTGTTATGCTCTGGGACTCCTTTGCTTTATCTGGTACAAGGTTATTTAGTCTCTGCACGGTCCAAGGAAATCTCCAGACCTCTGAGGGATTCTGCCCAGTTTCATAAAGCTTGCTCTCAGTCGCAGGTCATGGGTCTTCAACAGGGTCATGAGACAAAACACACAGCTAGAAAGTTTCCTCTTAGCCAAAAAGGGCAAAGACACTGGACTGAAAAACGCTGCTGGAAAAGGCAGCCTTTAAACCTGAGACACAGAATACCTGCTGAGAGGAGCAGAAGTCACACTGACAGTTACAGGAATGGGTTGATTGCAGTGATTTTAATCATTCTGTTGAAGTGTGGTTAAAAATCAATATCTTACTTTGATTTGTTCATTTTCATAGAATTTTTATTTATTACTACTTTTGTCAGTGTCACGTGTTCGTCAGGAGGCCAAGCAGTCTTGGAGGTGGGACCCAAACCAGTTAAAAGAAGAACATGTTTCTAAGGGCCGGATTTATCAAGATCCAATTTTGCGTGCAGTAATTTGCGCTCGCAAACTGGAATTTTGTGCGAGGGGCTGAACATATGAACTTTGGCAACCTTTATTCCCTAAGGTGGTATGTGGCTGAATTTGTACTTCACTGCAGTAAAAAAAAAACAAAAAAAAAAACAGGTGTTTTGCATTGGCCTGTAGAAGCTCACAAGAAGTGACTGTGGATAAGATGACTGCGCGTACGCATCCCCGCAGCATTGGCACGTTGCTCCACAGGTGCAATGGGGAGGTCGGGGTTCTCCGGTAGGGCGTCAGGGCGACATGGCATTTAGAACGTCGGACAGCACTTCTGAAAAACGAGATTGGGAGATCCCAGATGCAAAAAAGTGCAACGTTGCAAGGAGTTTTGTGATATCTGGTATTGCGTGGGTCCTCCTTGTGGCTGGCTCCAAATCCATTCGGAGTTCCCCCAACAGCTCCAAAATGGCAATGCAGGATAAACGATGTGTTTTCATTATCGTTTCCTCCTTCATTCCAAAAATATTCACACGGAGTGAAAAAATGCGTTCTATGCGTCTCCTTGCTTCTGTCATGATGGGT